GCTGTGGCTCACGGGCCCAGCCGCTCCACGGCATGTGGGATCTTCCCGGACCGGGACACGAACCCGTGTCCCCTGCATCGGCAGGCAGACTCTCAACCACTGCGCCACCAGGGAAGCCCCAGCATTTCAGATTCTTATCCATAGAATCACCATTTGTCTGAAAGTACAAACCTGGCGATTAACTGGCTCATCTGGCAAATGTCACAACCAACGGCCTGTGTGGTTAATTCAGACCAGGGGAGGACCCCTTGGGGCCCTGTCTCCTCTTCTCTGGGGGCAGCGCAGGCACGTGTCCAGGTGAGTGCTCAGGTGAGTCTGCACCTGAAGGCCCCGTCTGTCCGGGCCGAGACACCACCAGCTACTGGCCACCCCTCTGGTCCCCCAAGGACGGAAGGATTTCAAGACTGTGTGGCTTACACGGGCCCGTCCCAGGCAACCGAGCAAGAGGCAATCTCCATGGAGGAGTGTGGGAGAAGGGAACAAAGAAGGCATTTAGGGACAGGCCTGGGCAGGGTGTAGGGAGTGAGCTGGGGAGAAGGAGGAAGTCGGGAGGGAGGTGTAGACAGGGGTGGAGCTGAGGGGAGCTGAGGCCCTGTCAGACATCAGGAGATTTAATCAGATTTCAAGGGAGGAGGGAAAGCGGGGCCTCAGGAGGTGATGGGGAGGGTGTGGGGAGGAGAGGAAAAGAGGCAGAATTGATGAATTGCCCCGTCCGTGAGGTGGGGGAGCTTGGGCAGGGGTGAAGGGCACGGATGATGTCCTGGATGGTTCAGAGACTAGCCCAGAGGTTGAGGCCATGTAACAGAGCTGAGTCCTGTTGCTGTGTCATGGTCTTCCCACTTCCTCGCTGGGAGAACTCAGGCAAGCTCCTCAATGTTTCTGGGCCTCGGTTTCTGCATCTGTAAAATGGGGATAACACGGCTTGCCTCCCCAGGAGGCTTTTGCAGATGAAAGGAGAAATGTGGGCACATAGTGGATGCTCAGTAAAGCAGTTAGGATCCTTCCTTCTAAGGTTGCAGGAGAACCCAGTATTTTGGAGCCTTCCTATGTTTTATTGTTTCCTATATCCTGCCTTTTCTGGCTTTTGTGCAACCCTGCCAGCGGGGAAAAATTGCCAAGGGCTAAACAGATGCTGGACACATCCCCAGAGGTCTCACCCCAAACCGTCTTCTCCTGACGGGGTAGCACTCATCCCAGAGGTGAGAGCAGACCCTTCTAGTAGCACAGAGTTCCCAGCCCAAGGTCCCTGGTGCCCTGCAAGTCTGGCCTTGCAAGGCCCCCTCCCAGCCGATGTTGACTTCCCTGGTGCCCCAAAGAAACCAGGCGACTAGTTTCTCCTACGCCCTGCCTGATACTTCCGCCCACTGCTGCAGACAGGGCGGCTCCGCTTTTGACCCTTCTCTCGCCTGTTTCCAGATCGGCTGCCTCTCCCTCCGGCCCTCCCAGGTCACTGGCCGACACCTCTGGCTCTCCTCTGTGCGCACCCCGCTAGCCTCCCTCTTCCCTGCCTCTCTTGCTCAGGATGGACCCCAGGGGCTGACTCCCGCTACCCTTGGCCGAGGCTCTCCATTGTTCTAGAGCCCCTGGACTCTCCCTCCTCTGTACTCAGTGCCTCTTCCTCCCTCTTGGCCAGTGAGTCTGTGCTCTGTGGGTAAGGCCTTTCCTCGCCTTAATGCCCCATGCCCCACAGCTGCCAGCAGGTCCCCCGAGCACCTCTGCTCACTCCGCTGGTTCCCTACCTTCACCTTCTCTAGGCAAACCTCCTCCCCTCGCGCAGGGGGTTAGCCTGCCTGCACCACCCCCTTTATCCTACCTCCTTTCCGCTTTCCCCAGTATCCTCCAATCTTCAGTTCTCCACCATCTAGGCCTCTACTTTGCATCTGCAGCCCAATGTCTTGACCTCCCTCCCCTCACCCCCGGACGATTCACTCTGTATCCCCACTGTGTACGCACCACCCCAGGGCCCCAGCACAACAGCACACTCCATCCACACCACTGAACACCACCAAGACCTCACCTGCTTGCACCTGCCCACTCCCCTCACTTACCCGTGCCCTGTGGGCCTGCCTGCCACCCTGTCCTCTCCCCTCCGAGCCCGGATCCTGGTCCATGGAAGGTGCCCCACCCAGCAGTGGGGATGGGACCACTCGTCAGCGCTTTCTCTGTGCCAGGTGCTCTCTGAGAGCCTCACTTGCCTGATCCCAGTTCATCCCACACCTGGCTGGGAGATGGCCCTCACACTACCTCCACAAAAAACGGAGTGACCGAGCCACCAAGTTTGGTAACTTGTGAAGGTCACCTGCCTAGAGGTGGTGGTAACTGGATTCAAAACCTTGGAGCCCCAGTCCTAGGCTCTGGGTGGGCTCCCTCCTGGATCCCCCAGGCTCATTTCATGGAAGAACTGCCCTGCGCCTGCCCCCACCCCCAGACATGGGGGTGGGAGTGAATGCACTTTTGTTCTCTGCTCTCCTTGTTCTGGGTGCTGAGGTAGGGTGAGAAGCCCCAACGCCAGCCACTCTCGCTGAGCTGGTGAGGACGTCTCAGCTGCAGGGGGAGGCGGCTTCCGGCGTCCCATCCCCTTGGGGCCTTGCTTGCTGGGGGTGAGGGGCTCTCCAGGGACAGGAAAGTTGCCCAGCACAGGCACACTGTCTGGCCTTTAGGCGTCTTCCTCGCAGCTCAGACCCACCTGCCAGTCCCAGGCTTCTCAGGAACCTTCCAGGCCACCGGCTCTGCCAACCTCGGAGTTCGGGGCTCTTGGCTCTGCCCCCGCAGAGAGTCTCCGCTGCCCACATGGGGTCTGGGTCCCTTGGCTTTCCAACCTCCCACCGCTGTGTCTATTGACAGCTGGCTTCTCCCAGCCTTTGTCCAGAGACCAGGCGAAACCCTCATCTTCATCCGCGTCTACTCCTCCTCTTAAACATTTTCCATCCCTGGCGATGGCATTTTCCGTGTTGTGAGATTTCCAGCACGTAGCTCGTGGGGCACATGCTTTCTGAGAAGAACTTAGAGTCTCTGGCCTGGGGAGCCCAGGGGTGTGGGCAGAGCGGGCGGGGTTGGAATCCCCGGGTGGCTGTCTGGGGGCTCTGCAGCTCCAGCTCTAGGCCTTCCACCTTCTCCACCAGCTTCTCGGCCCTCTGGGCACTTTTTCAAGAAAGCCAGGACACTCTCTCCTCCATCAATCCACTTCCCGGGGTGTCTGCACAGGGACCCACCAGCAGCCCCCTGGCCTGTGAGAGTATCCAGGAGGGGTGACGTGTGCGCCCAGCTGCTCAGGACTCCTTGCCAAGAGAGCTCACGTTCCTGGTGGTTTGTGGCTTCCACATGTTGACTCTTCCTGTGGTTCCTCAAGGAGATGGCTGGAAATGGGTGGGACTCTGTGTTCAAAACCCAGTGTGGTGGGGAGACCGGTGAGCGCTCTGGGGTGTTCTCAGATGGCTTGGTCTTCCTGCCTTCAGGTGGAAATCACCCACCTGTCTTCCAAGCTGGCAGGTGCTTTGGGAGCACTAGTGGGGAACCCGCAGAACAAAAGAGGTGCCTCTTGGCTGAACTGGATTGACCTTAGCTTCACGCCTCCACTTTTGTCTCTGTGGTAGCTGCTTTTCAGAGAAGGACATTATTATCCGTACTTTCCGTATCCATCAGAGCTCATGTCCCAGCTCATTCCTGATAGATTCTCTTCCCAACCCACCCCAGACCCTGCCAGCCCATGTTCTCTTCCTGAGCAGGGCTGCCTAGAACCTCTCCTTCTCCCCTCCCAGCCACCCTCACTGCCTCCCTTGCTGGCCTCTCTCCTCCCCCAGGGACCCTGAATAAACTCCCGATCTTGCCCAAACTGCAGACGGCACTCCCTTTCCCATAAAAAGGTTTATAGCTGTGCCTGCCCAGACAGAGTCCCCGCTGGCGGCAACCCAGGCTCCTGTTTGCAACACAAGCCTCACGTCCTATCATAGAAACGCTGCACACTGTTACTGCCACGGGACACTCCCTGGGCTGGTCTCTGCTGAGCTGGGCTGCGTCCCCTTCCTCCCCTAAGCTGCTCCCTGATGGCCCCAGATCCATTGAAAGGAGTGGGAACCCCACAAATGAGCTTCCTTCCTGCTCACGTTGGGTGGAAGACCTGGCAGAGGGTCAGCCTTATGAAGATATGGCTGGGCTGCCCAGCCCCAGAGCCCTGAGTTTACAATGAGATGGCGTTTGACTTGTTGTTGGAGCCTCGGTGACTGGCGTGGTGCCTGGCGTATCCGACGGCCTGATGAGTGTTTGCTGAATGGACGGCTGAAGGGCTGAGTGGTGGACCTGCTCGAGTTTGCCCCCTGGGTGGCCCCGCTCCCTGACTCTCCGGTTCTCTTCCACCTCTTCCCCCCTGACTTCTCCAACCCCGGCTCCCTCCCTGCAGACAGAGCTGTCACTGCAGAAGGAACAGCTGCAGCTCAAGATCATCGAGATCGAAGATGAAGCTGAGAAGTGGCAGAAGGAGAAGGACCGCATCAAGGTAAAGCTGCCCCCAGGGCTCTCCCCACCCTGTGCTGCCCGGAAGAGGCGGGCCTGTGCTCCAGCTCGAGGTCTCAGGCCCACAGTTACAACCCACACTCGTTTCTTCTGGGTTCTCTTGCCCCCTTCTAGGTGTGGGCCCGGCATCCATGTTGCCCAGCACCTAATGCTCATTTTACATCATCCCAGCAAATAAAGACCCTGGACCAACTCGTCCTCCAGTGTGGCTTCCAATGTCCACCGATGTCTGTTCTGCCCACCAGGCTACCCGGCCACCAAATGCATGCTATTTTCCCTTTACTTGTGTCAGTGTGGCTAGATGTATGTCTGCCATGGTTTGAATGCTTGTAAACTACAACCTGAAATCACTGACTCTTGACCCTGGCTACAAAAACAGCTCATTAATTCACTTTCTGAATGATGTTTGGGTCTGGCTGAAGTTTCAGTGGACACACCCTGACTCACCTGGGAACTTCTGAGCCCATGGAGTTACCCAAGGGTAGAATGATGGTTCATGTCAACCCACCAAGGGGGAGGAGCTGCTGATAGATAAGGAAAGGTGGGCTGTTAAAAAAAAACCTTGGCCATCTCTATCAAGAGATGGCATCCCTCAATGATGCCTTTGAATGAGATTCTTGGTTGAACAGGCTTGCAGGGTCAGGGCAGTAGAAGTGCCCTGACTCTATGTTGGGGACCTAAAGATGTGCCCTCTAGGGAGATTTTTAATTACCGAAACCGGCCTTCCTCTCTCCCCTCACTCTGGACGCAGAGCTTCACCACCAATGAGAAGGCCACCCTGGAGCAGAACTTCCGAGACCTGATGCAGGACCTGGAGAAGCAAAAGGAGGAAGTGAAGGCTGCACTGGAGCAGCGGGAGCAGGACGCTGCAGACCAAGTGGAGGTGATCGTGGATGCTCTGGATGAGAGGGCCAAGGTGCTGCAGGATGACAAGCAGACCAGGGAGCAGCTCCACAACATCAGCGACTCGGTGCTGTTTCTGCAGGTAACAAGCAGCTCCTCTGTCATTCAATCCCTCACTCCTTGTATCCACTCACCCAGACCCTCATCCAGTGTCCATCTGTCCATCCATCCATCTATCCACCATCCACCATCCATCCGTCTATCCATCCATTCATCCCTCTAAGCTCCATTCCATCTGTCTATTTAATTATTCCATCCAAGCCATTTCCTTACCTCTTTTAAAGATGGCACACAGATATCACTTTGTCCCAACTTCAATTGATAAGTACAAATAGTGCTCCAGGCTCAGTAGGAAACAGTTCTGCGATCGATTAGTGATGCCTGCACTGGGTATGGGTGTGTGTGACATATGAGCGCTGTACATTTGTTATCCTTCATCTTGTCTCTCTGTCAACTCCTCCAACCATCCTTCCACCTGCTAGACTGTGTTGGGTACTGCATGCCCAGTACTCTATTAGGTGCTGTGGAGAATAGAAAGGTATAAGACATGGTTATTGCCCTCAAGGAGCTGCAATCTGGCTGGGAAGATAAGACACGTACAGTTAGAGAACAATATAGAAGGGAGTGTAATTAAGTGATAAAGCCTATGGTTCAGGAGATAAGAGCCTATGGAAGCTCTGGGATGGGCAAACAGGCTGGAGACAGCTTTGTGGAGGTGGTGGAATTTGAACTGGGTCTTGAAGGCCCATTAGGATTTGAGATGAAGGGATTCTCCAGTGAGAGGGAAGGGAGGTGAGAAGTGCCAGAGCGTAGAGGCAGTGAGTGGGCATGTGCAGGGGGAGAAACCACCATGACTGACCCATACGCTAGTAATTCCTTGCCTTTCTTTGGTGCTTTCACGCCCAAAGACTTCACAGCTTGTGTCACACCCATAAACCCCTATGAGGTAGGCACAATGCACCCAGTTTAAGAGACGGGAACCACGGAGTCACGTGTCTCGGTGCTAGTGCCATTAGGGATATTAGCATCTAGTGGATTTTAGTTGAACCCTTTCCTTTTACAGAAGAATAAGAAACAAGTGCCTAGTGGGAAAAAGTGGGACTAGTTAGTAGCAGAGCTAGATCTGGAACCCAGCTCCTCTGCCTCCTGTGCTGAGTCTTCCAGCTGGACCATGAAAGCCCCGTGCAGAGAAAGGTCCCCATAGCTCCCAAAGACCCAGAAAGTTAATGGCTTCTTTCCTTTCCTGGTAGGAATTTGGTGCCTTGATGAGCAGTTACTCCCTCCCCCCGCCCCTGCCCACCTACCATGTTCTATTGGAGGGGGAGGGCCTGGGGCAGTCGCTGGGCAACTTCAAGGACGACCTGCTTAATGTGTGCATGCGCCACGTTGAGAAGATGTGCAAGGGGGACCTGAGCCATAACTTCATCGAGAGGAACCACATGGAGAGTGGTGAGTCCCCTCTTGTGGGCAGGCCCCAAGGCCATGGATGTTTCCTCCCGGGTCATTTCCTGCTGCCGGGTGCAGGCCAACATCGAGCCAGCTGGCCCCTCACTGTTCCCAGCCACCCATCCCACTTAAGGGTGTTTGGACTAGGATTCAGGGATGGTACCCCCCTCCCTTGAAGTTGCTGCCACAGTTATGCAGCTATTTACAAGGGGCCTCCAGGGCAGGAAGCTTCCCAGGCACTGGCGGCACAAATGTCCTCTCTGTGGGTTGTCCATCAAACTCAGGGATTGGTTGCATTCAGCTCTGCGTCTGCTTGGCGGACCCAGTCCAGCAGCTGTGTAGATGCTGCAGCTTGTAAGGGCCAGACTCCAACCTGGTGGCTTTGCAGGTTCCAGTGGACGTGACCTAGAACTGCATCTGTGCTTGGAGGGAGAACTTGCCTGTCACCATGGCCGTGCTGAGCAGTGTTGAGCCCAGAGGTGGACTTGGCCTGGTGGCCCGGCTGGGGATGATTGGGCACAGTGTGTCTCGGTGACTCACCAGCTCCCCTGAAGTCAGCTTCTCTACTGAATCACTCTGTCCTCTGCAGAGGCGACTGAATCATCTCACAGCGTCCTAACATGAGAAACTGCCCCATTAAGTGCTTTTCCACCAGTCCCAGCCCAGTCCCTTTAGGGCCTGAAGCTGGACACTTTCCCCAAGCCCCGCCCAGTGGCCCAGGCCTTGAGGTTGCAGCCTAACTAATGACTTCTAGCCCCAGCACCCCGAAGGCAGTGACCCTGGTCTTTGGTCTCCGAAGGGAGCATGTGATTCTTTGGGGGATGAGAAGGGGGTAATAGTGCGCAGAAGGGCTGGGACTCAGGGGGCAGCGTCTGTATGTCTTGGGGATGGTGACGTCGCATAGTGTCCCCGTGAGATGTGAGGGACATTCAGTCACACCTGAGGACAGATAAGCCATTTCAGCAAGACCATCATTTGGCTTCAAGTGGCACCTGGGTCCTGAAATCCTCCTAATGACCATGGTGACCATCCTGAGGGGACGGCTCACAGCGATTGGGTGCTCCCAGGACGCTGGCTTTGTGTGAATGACTCCCTTACATTATCTTAGTCTCTCTGTGGGATGAGTTGCATGTCACAGATGAGAAGGCTGAGGCTTACAGAAGAAGCTTTTCAAAGGGCACACGGCTAAGCAGGGGGTGAGCTGGGTTTCACACTCTGCACACCTGGTACGGGAGCCCCTCCACTGAGGTCTGGTCGGACCGATGAGGACAGCCCCGACCGGGTTGGGGTGCGCCCCCACCTGCAACCTGCCCACTGTGCCATTTCTAGGTCATGATAGTGCTGGCCATGGCCTCTGTGCAAGTGGGGCCCTGTGCCCTGTCCAAGGTGTGCCGGGAAGCGGCTGCCAGGAGAGGATGGGCGCTACTGATGTCAGCAGCCCTGCACCTGTGCCTCGGGCCCCGGGGCCTCCATGTTGGCGTTTTGGCACTGCTGTGTGCTTGGGAGTGTGTCTGGCTGTAGGAAGTGGGGTGTGGGTGGCTGGTGAGTCAGACCTTGGAGTGACCGTCTTCTCTGCCTTGATTGCAGTCTGCCCACCGGACAGACCAGGGACTCAATCCCCACCATCAAAGGTGTGGGGTCTGAGACGCACCAGAGCACCTTCATCCTGGGCTTGGTGGGGACGGGGCGGGGCCAACATCAAGAAGGATTTCTATTTGTCGTGAAGTGCCTACCGCGTGCCAGGCCCCTGCTTGGTACACGTGATGGAGATGAAGGATGGGCATCCTCACTCCTCCTCTTGCCCGGGAGAGAGGGAGAGGGAAGGGCAGAGGGAATGTAGGAGATGGGGAAGGAGCAGGAGAACGGACTGGGGCAGAGGGCAGTTGGGGAAAGGCAAACTTCGAGCCACAGATTTGTTTGGGTTCAAGGGGATCTGCAGGTGGGTGTAGGGGGGAGTCAGCTAGAGTTAGCTGCCCCTCCTGAGTAGCTCACTCTCCCCTGCACGGCTCCGCAGCTGGATCCCTGGCCATGGAGGCCAATGCTGGGACTTCATTCCATCTCCTTCCTGGGCTGCCAGCAGCGGCTGAGACAGAGCCAGGAAACAGGGGTGAAGGCTCCAGCCCCACATCTGCCCTTATTGGCCATGTGACATGGGGCAGTGGCTTCACTCACCTCCTGAGCCTCAGTTTCCTTATCTGTCACCTGGACATCTTCATATCAGCCCAAGGGTTGATGCACACATCAAACAAGAGATGAAACTCAGTAGCACCTTGTAAACTGCAAAGCGCCTTGCACGCGTCTTCCTCACGGGGGCCAGTCCCAGGCAGGGTGGATGGCCCACCACACAGACCCTCTCTCGCCCCCCAGGAGCTCAGGGCCGGAGGGGATGCTGGGCAGGGGGCCCCCTTCTCCAAGGCTGGGGACCTCGCCTCTCCCTGGGACGGAGGGGCTATGGGCTGCCTCGGCGACACCCTCAGTGGCTCGGTTCATGCCCCGCACCTGGCCCTCTGCTGACCCGACCCCTCTGCTTCCCAGGGGGTGACCAGCGCTACGTGAACAGCTACGGTAACAGCTACAGCAGCGAGTGGGGTGCTCCAGACGCCGCAAAGAAGTACTCCCTGTACCTCACGCCCAAGGGTAAGGGAAGGGGGCGGATGCTCCGCTGAGGGGATGGTCCCCAGAGACGCAGCAGGGTTCCCCTGGGGAGCGACCCTCACGGACAGGCCTGGGAAGGTCCTGGCGCCTACCTGGGTCCCGGTGTAAGTAGCAGCACCTCCTCTCGCCCTCCGTCTGGCACCTGCCCCTCAGCTCCCCTGCCCTGTGCCCACCCCTCCCACCCCCGCGCCTCCAGCCCACACCCTCCTTCTCTTTCCTTCCCGAGGGGCTCCTGGCTGCTGGCCTCAGCCACTCCCATCCACCAGGCTGAGCTGGGTTTTGCCTCTGCTGAGGTTTCTGTGGTCCTGAGGGAGGGCTGGCTTCTCCAGAGCCATCCCGCTTGTCCAGGCAGGGGGACTGACGGCTGCGCTTTTAAATTCCTCAACACCACCCCCCCCCCACGCACGCCAGCCCCTCAGCCCTCCTTGCCAGGCCCTGAGGGGCAGCAGCCCAGCTGGGCGTGGGTAGAGACCAGCGCCTGGCTGTCCTCGCCCTGCGGTAGCCCGTCACATTCTTTGGCACCAGCAACAAACCACAGCGATGCCCGTGACGTAAGGGTGGGTGTTCCCGGTGGACAGAGGGGTGTGTGCATGTGTGTGTGTTGTGAGGGGGCCAGGGGGTCAGGACAGGAGAGGGTTGCAGGGAAGCGTGACGTAAGGGTGGGTGTTCCCGGTGGACAGAGGGGTGTGTGCATGTGTGTGTGTTGTGAGGGGGCCAGGGGGTCAGGACAGGAGAGGGTGTGCAGGGAAGGAGGAGAAAGGAGACGTGGGGAAGACGCCAGGGCCTGGAGCGGGGAGCCTCGAGGCCCTGGGCACGGATCCACACGTCTCAGACGCGCGCGCGCACACACCGCACACACCAACCCGGTGGGAGGGGCCCAGGGGAGATGAGCTCAGCAGAGAGGAACCTTGGCCGCCCCACCCAACTTGAAAACAACACCTGGGCTTCCAGCAAAGAAGCTGGACCTGAGTACCCGGCCCTACGTTCATGGTGGGGGCCTGGGCCCGGCGGGGCCTGCTCGCTTCCCTCCCCCGGGGTGCTCTCCTTTGGGTCTAGTCCTGTGAGAGGGTGAGCTGCGTTAACCAGCCCCATTCCAGCATCACTGGCCCTGACCCAGACCCTTCTGGCTCCCCACCTTCTGAGGATCAGACCCTGGGGTGGTATCAAGTCCCCCGACTGGCCCCTGCTTGGCTGGCCTGCTCTGTAGAAGGCGGAGGGGAGCGGAGCAATAATGGGGGATTGAGGAAAGAGCATGGACCCACCCAGATGTCACTCGAGAGCCCGGGCCCGGTGACCTTGGGCTGGTCACTGCCCCCTCAGTATCCTCATCTGAGAAGAAGGAGCTTGGACTCAGCTGTTAGGAGCTTCCAGCTCTGTTACCGTGAGTCAGGCTGTGACATTTGTAGGGAGAAGAAACAGGTTCCTCTGGTGTCTCTGCCCCTGCACTGGGGACCAGAGGGAGGAAATCTGGGAGCCCCAGGCTCAGGGTAGAGGCAGGGCAGGGGCCAAGGGAGTCAGCAAGGAGATCAGGAAGAAAGGCCACCAAGGGACAGTGGCCTGAGTCTGGGAGCTTTGGGGCAGTGGGACTGGGCAGTGAGACTTCCGGGAGAGATTAGTTTCCAGGCTCCCTGCAAGAGGGGCCAGGGACTCGGTAGAGAGGGCGTGGCTGTGATGGACAGAGGGCGCAGGACGAGAGGGATGCACTGCAGGGGTGCGGGTTTAGAGAAGGACCAGCTGGTGCTCGGCCAGAACGGGAGTGGGGCTGGTTAGGCGGGAGGGCAGAAGCCGATGGAGGACTCTGACCCGCGCAGACGCACGTGTGGGGCGCGTTGTCTGCATCTGTTAAGTAGCCTTGTGGAGCCCGTTCTGTCTGCCTTCCTCCCAAGACTGTTGCGGAGCCCGAATGGGGGAGGGAGGGAAACACCTGTGCCACGTAGAGCTCATCCCTGGGGAAAGCATCCCTGTAGTGGGGGAGGGACTTGTGGCACAAGCTCATCAGGCCCCTGCAGGTGGCAGCCCTCATTCGGTCAAGGGCCCTACACCTCTGCCCCACGGTGACCGTGGCCCAACTTCCTCATGGGCACCCCATTTCCCAGCCTCTGGGGTCTCAGTCACACAGGGCCTGGCTCAGGAAGGCTCTGGTGGCCCTCAAAGCCCCTAATTAGGGCAACCATACATCTAGGACTCTCCAGGTTTACACCTGGTACTCTCAGCATAACTATTCATAGCACCCTTTCACGCTCAGAACCATTCTGATTGGAAAGGTAACTTACGTGGTCACCTTATCCTAGACCCAAGGGAGCTGTCTTGGTGGGGGAACAGGCCCTGGCACAGGCAGAGGCCGCTGTCTGGGGGCAAGGAATCCTGCAGTACACCCCTCAGGTCAGAGCCACAGGCTCCCGACTGAGCCAGGTCCCCCCTTCTGCGATGACAGCCCCTCCTCGTGTGCTTCACAGGTGGGGCCAGGACGTCGTACCAGCCGGTGTCCCCCAACCGCCTCTCCAAGGATAAGACCTTCAACAATCTGTATGGCACCAAAGGTAGGAGGTGGCTCAGCTGGGGGTGGGCAGGGCCTGTGTGGGAGCCACACAGGAGGGGCTGTGGGCTGAGTCATGGGCAGGGGGCCTGGGCTTCCCACGTGAGGTGAATGTGGGGAGCTGGGGTGGGGTTGGGGACCCAGAGACGGGTGACGAGGGGTCCTAGTGGGCTTAGGGCGTGTGCGCATGTATACGCGTGTAAGGGCGTGTGTGTGCGTGTGTACACACACGTGTGACGTCGTCAGGCTGAGGAAAGGCAGCCGGGCACCTCGGCATCCCTGGAAATCCCTGAGTCCATAGGATCTTCTCCCTGAAGGCTGAGTCGGGGGGAAGTGAACACCGGGGTTAGGTGTGGGGACTTCCCTCAGCGGATGTCGGGGCAGGGGACCACAGAGGAACTCTCCTGATTTGTGTACTCCTGGGTCGGAAAGTCATACGGCGGTTAAGACAAACTAGGGGAGCAGGAAACGAGAAGTCAGGCATGCTATGAAATGGGCCGTCCCTGGAAGCCCAGGAGGTGTTGTTGCCAGGGAGGTGTGTGGGCGACTCATCCTTAAGACCCGGGAGGGGTGGGATGGGGGTGGAGACACGGCTTCCCCAGGGAGACCTGCTGAGCGCAGGGTCCCCTCTGCCCACAGCACTGAAGGCACCGCTGCGCCGAGGGCAGGGCCGACCCTCGATGAGCCCAGCTTCTGGGGGCTCCTGCCGGGGAGGTGCCACATGTGTGGGGGGAGAGGACCGGGCCAGCTCTGCCAGAGCCCCCCTCGGACACAGCACCGGGACGTCTGAAGAGACGAGGAAGGGAGTCGGGGCTCGCTAGTGAGGACGAGGCCCCCGGAGATCTGGAAGGTCAGGGACACCGTGGGCAGGGCCGTGCCCAGGCCTCTAGGTGCAGGACTGGGTTCACCACCAAGCACAGGAGACTGTGAGCTCTGTGAGGGCAGACGCTCAGTCTGCCCTGTTCCCTGCTGCGACCCCAGGGTCCAGAAGAAGGCAGGGTTCAGCAAACATTTGTTGAATGAGAGGAAGAGGGGACCAATGAATGGGTGAAGGAAAGGGCAAGGCGGATGGCCCCTCGGAGTCTTGGCAGGCGTACTCAGGGAGGGCCTTGCTGCAGAGTCTGCCGCGGTCCCTGTGGGAGGGGGTCAACGAGGGGGCAGGCCACCCACCCCGACCCCATGCGACCGCTGACCCGGCTCCACCCCGCAGGCAGCAGCAGGAGAAAATCGCCAGGGCTGGTGGGCTTCGCTGTGGAGTGAGCTCAACCAAGGGGGAGTCCCCCACGCTCCGGGCTGCTGAGAGGGTGCAATGCCCGCAGGGGCTCTTGAAGGCCCTCGCGGTGCCCCTGTTGTCCCTGCCACACTGTCCCCACGGCCTCTTTTTTGTTCACCTGCAAATGGACACTTGCAGCCTGTTCAACCTGGCAAACAATTTCAGGACTTGTATCAGCTGCTTCCGCCTCCAAGTTTTAGCCTGTGTTTGTATTTATTTGTTCCTTTACTCATTCATCCATCCATCAGCTGTACAATGAGCACCTTCCAGCAAGCAGGCTGGGTGCCAGGCACTGGGTGTGATGCTGGGCCAGACGGGCATTCCACCTGCCCCCACAGAGCCCAGTGGGGGACGTGGACCATTAAACGTGCAGTTACAATGCGATATGGGGCATGGGGCTGGGACACATGCAGACTTGGGGGGGGTGACACGGAAGCTGACACCTGAAGACCCGACACCTGAATTTGCTAAGCATGGGGGAGCAGGTGGGCTATTCTAGGCAGAGGATCTGGTCTGTGCAAAGAGCCTGGGGCAAGCGAGAGCCTGGTGTGTGTCAAGAGCTCAGAGTGCAGTCTGGTTGGAATGTTGAGTGATGGAGGCCCAACTCCAGGCGAAGGCAGAAAGTGGAGACAGTGGGGAGGGGTGAGGGCCTCATGAAAGAGCTGAGGGCTGTGCTAAGGACTTTGTACCTTAATCTGAGGGCAGCGGGCTGTTAGGGCCAATACCTGACAACACTTGATAGTTTAGAAGGACAACTTGATGGCAGGAAGGATTGGCCCGAAGTGTGACGAGGGCCCAGCAGTATCCTGGCTGGAGACGTGCAGGGGCTGGAGAGATTCACAGAAATGGCCATGTCCCGGCCTCCGTCCCCCATGCCAAGCTGTCCAGGGCTGATGCCTCTTCCTTTCCCCACCAGGTAACTACACCTCCCGGGCCTGGGAATACTCCTCCCCCATCCAGAGCTCTGATGACCTGCCTGCCATGCAAGGCAACTCTTCCTTCTCCCTGAAAGGTGAGCCCACCCCAACCAGAGTGCCTTGGACTCTACTCACAAGCTCTTACCTTGTAAGGATCAGAGCCCTGCCTCCATGTCTCTGCTGTCAGGAGGGCTGGGCCACCACACGCCGGTCCCTCAGGATGTGCTGATACAGGCCTCGGTGTCAGGGAGGTGCGGACACATGACACCCTCTACACCCCCCACCCCAGACATCCCCAGGGTGCTTCCATCAGGCACTGAATCTTCCTACTGCAGAAAGTTTATTTAACTCAGTCACCCAGTGACTCCCAGCCTTGGTTGACTCTAGAACCCTGTGACCACATAGCACCTGTCAGCATCCCATGGAGCCAGAGTCCTGCTGAGTCCCTGCTGGGAGAGGCAGATGAGATGATCTCTAAGGCCTCCCAAGTCTGATTCTGCCTCCCAGAGCTCTTTGACAAGGCTGAGCAGCCGATGCTTCCTGTCCGCTGGGAATGGGGTCATCCTGAGGGGCAGGCCTGAACCAGGCCCCAGCTCACAGTGGGGCCCACGGCCCTCCCATCTCTTCTGAAAGGTGCATGGGGCAGCTATGGTGGGCTGAGGTGGGAGCAGGCTTGGAGACATCTGGCCTGGGAGACAGGATAAGCAGGCTGGGTGGGCTCAGGCGGAGGGGGTGGGAAAGGGGCAGGCGGACCTCCAGGCAGTGGCCTCGGATGATGGCTTTATCATCCAGCATTCCCTTCCGGGCTGGATCCCAGCCTATACCAAGGGCTGGGATTCTTGGATCTACCAGCAAGGAGCTATGACTAGAGGGTCCCAGCCTGCAAGACCCCCAGGCCTGGGGAGTTCTGGGACTTGCCTTGGCCTGTCTGGCTTCCAACAGATCATCCCTGCTCTCTGGTCAAGCTTGGATCAAAGGCCACCCGGCAGGGAAGACGGCCACCCTTAGGTGTGATTTGGAGCTTTCACACTCGCTAGCATCTCCCCGATGGCCTGCAGTCTCCCCAGGCGAAGGCCTTGTCCTAGGAGAGCCTCTCCTCAAAAACACCAGGACCTCGGGACACGTGTTGTCACCTTCATGCAGATCAGCTCCCCAGATCTGCTGGGAATGGCCTGTATGGGGGTTCTGGGCAGGGGCTGCCTGCCTGGGAGGACTGACCCCACCTACTCTGGGGCGGGGGGAGGCAGGGAGTACACGCAGGCTGCCAGAGAGGACTGAGTGAGGGCTTTGAGAGTGGCCGTGCCCATGGGACGTGTGACTCCCTCTGGCCCCTCCTGGGACCAGTGCTAATGGCTCTCTCTCCCAGCAGGCACTGGAAAAGTCCCCTGTCAGTTCACCACTTTGGGACAGGCTACCACAGAGTTTTCCAGACCACTGGACGGCAGTGGGCTGTTTAAATATCATCCTGGTAGCTGCCTGTTTTACATTCCCCCCCCCACCTTTTCCCTCCCACAGCAGGGCAAATGGGACACCCTATGGGGCTCTCTGCCACTTCTAGGGTATCCTGGTCCCTCCTCCCCAGAGCCCCTCTGGAAGAGGATGCATGCCCCTTGCCCCCTGCCATCCCTAGCCCACCTGCCCCTGGATGCTGCCTGCTATACAGGCTGGTCTCCTGGACCACAGCCCTGCCGCATCCCCGTCCCCACTTCTCTCATGGCTGGCTTGGGATTTTCTTTCTGGAAACTGAGAAGTGAGACCTGAATTCCCCCCTCTCAACCTCCTGCTCAGGACCTGAGGAACCCTCTCTTTCCAAGGCTTCCCCCATCCCCAGATGCAGGGAGACAGCCGGGTTCTCTGCTCTGTCTCCACCCCCTTGCCAACCCGGGGAAGGGCCGGCCTCGCTGGCAGCCTGGCAGTGCTACAGGTGGTTTCTGGGCCTGACCAGCTCATCCGCCTTTGAGCAGGCCAGCCTGCCCAGGGCTGCCCGCCTGCAGGGTTCCAGCCTGCCCCTGCCAAGGACAGACCCTGTTTATTTCTTGAGCTCCTCCACGTCCGGGGCACAGCCTCTTCCTTGCTTGCCAGGCACCACCGCCAGTGCCTGCAGGCTGAGGGCTGACACGGAGAGCACTTTTCACAGTTCTGTGGACTGGAGCTCCTTACAGACCCGCTGGGCTGAGGGGGAGGGGTGGGGAGGTGGGCTTGGGCAGCGCTGCCCCAGACCAGCGCCTCGAGGACCCCAGGCCCAGGTGGCGCCCATGTGCTCCAGGCCCCCTTGGGCTCGCTGTTTTAACCCTGGACCGCAGCCACATTGCTGCCCCTCTCTGGGCCCCAGCCTCCTGCTTGTGAAGCAGGGAAGGGGGAGCCAAACTAGGCAGACAGAACGCGAGGAGGGGTTTTGGAGTCCGGCAAAGCTGGGTTCTAATTCTGACCATTGATTATTAGCTGTGCAGCTCAGGGCAACAGAAACAGGGAAGACCTATGCGAGTCCCAGCACAGTGCCTGGCACGAGTGCAGCCAATACATGGGGAGCCTCGTGCACACAGTTGGCGGGGGTGGGGGGAGTTGGGATGAGTGCCTAACGGTGGAAATCCTGACAGGTTGTGCTCATAGAGTGGCTTCCCTGGGCTTTGGGGAGGGGAGGGGTCTGTGGGGTGAACCATCAGGGTGTGTGGGGGAAATCCCAGCAAGTGGTGTGATCCTGACCTGGATTTGGGGTGACACTCCCCTGCCGCCTGGCCCAGCCCACCTGGCCCGTTCCTCCTCCTTCTATCTGCCTTGGTGCCCCCTCCCTTTGGCCCACCTCCTCAGGATTTTCCATTGCAACCCTCCTGGCTCCTACATGCCTCCTCAGGGTTGGCTGCACTTGGTCATGGGCTGGATGGAGCTTGGCAGTCACTTTGGAGATGGTGTCTGTGCTGCTCCGGCCCTGGGCCCCTGACCGCCAGCCCATGCTCCCTCTGACCAGAGCCTCTTGTCTCCCCAGGCTATCCTTCCCTCTTCAGGAGCCAGAGCCCCAAGGCCCAGCCCCAGACTTGGAAATCCAGCAAGCAGAATTATCTGGTGAGTGAGGAGAGCCTGCCTGGGCATGAGCATGTGCAGAATGGGCACTGAATGGGGCTCCCAGGAGCCGCTGGTCAGGGCCTGTGGGAGGATGGTGATGTCTCTGGGCCATGGGATGGAAGTGGCAGTGGCCTGAATAGCTGCGTACAGCAAAGGGTAGTAAAGAAAGACCCAGGGCAAATAGGCAGGGGGCCTGGGTAAAGATATACTTTTTGGGTCTCGGTTTTCTAATCTGTAAAGTGGGCAGCCCAGGATTTTTTTATGTGCAAATGATTGTTTGCTGCCTATGCTTGTTGAATGATGGCCAAAATGCTGAGTCCAGGGGACGGGCATCCTAGAGATGAGTCTCGCTTCCCTGGCGGCCAGCTCTGACAGCATAGAAGCCTTTGGGCTGATAGTGTGGGTAAGGCAGAGGCTGCAAAGTTAGGAACAGATATATTTAGGGTTCGATAGCTAATGACCCTGAGCTGGGGCATCAAAGAGCAGCACGAGAGGAAGCGTGGTCTTGGGGTCCAGCCACCTGCTGACTGTGGGGTCCTGAGTGAGTCAGAGCCCTCTCTGGGACTCTATAATGCGGTGCTGAGATGGGGTTGAACTCTAATACCTGTAGACCTGACATGCCTGAGCCCTGCCCGAGACCTCAGAGATCAGGGGCTGTCCTTCATATGCTGTGCTTTCACTTCCCCGCACGCTCTCCCCCAAGGCCCATGCCAGGCCCTGCTGAAGGAGTCAGCCAGCTGCCTTGGGATGGGGGTGGCATCTGCTGGGCCCAGGGGCTGGAGCCTCCGGCTCCCTTCTGTCTTTGCATTTGGAGGGTCAGAGCATGGAGAGGTGATTTGCTTCAGGTCACAAAGAGTGACTGGGGCTGGTTTAATTGGATAGAATCTTTAATTTGCTGGCGATGGAGCTAAGTGATGGTGTGTGTAATCTGAGCCGGGCCCAGGGCCACCGCAACAGCAGGGCTGCAAAAGGCAGATATGGAGAGAAAAAGGAAGCTTTCTCTTCCTGGACTCGGCCCTCCTCCTCCCTCCCACTACTTTCCCTCCCTCCCAGAGCTCTGATCCCAGCAGAGAAGGCTCATCATCACCCTGAGATGCCTGACAGGGCAGGGCTCTGGGATCCCCAGCTGGCACCCAGCACTGGGGGAATGGAGGCAGGCGCCAGTGTAGGAAGAGGCTGGCCCGGGGTCTGGCCCCCGTCCTCTCACCAGCTTGCCACGTGAGCCATTCTTCCCCTGTGCCTCAGTCTCCCCATCTGTAACATAAGGCAGATGGCCTGGATGCTTTCATAGCTCTTCCAACTTTCATGTGCTGTGACCCTGAGGCAGGGAGGGAATGGGGCAGGGGATGGGGGTGTGTGTGTGCAGGGAGCACCCTGCCCAGGTGCTCTGTTTGTGCCCGCCTACCACCCTGGACTCTTGACAAGACAGCGCCATTCACTGACCTGTGATCTATTTGATTGACCCAGCCTTCCTATAAGAAAGGCTTCAGCCATTTCTGGGTCTATTCACTTTGCCTTACTGACTCCTCTGGGGTCCAGGCTGGCACCTGGGGATTAGGAGACCTGGTCCAGGCCCTGCTCTGCCACTGAGTAACTTTGGCTATGTCTTTCCCCACCCTGGGTCTCCATCTCTTCCGTTGTTTAATAAGTGTTTTAACCAAGGCCAGAGCTAAGTTCCCTCAAGCCCCCGCATTCCACAGGCCCCCAGTCCTGCTGTGGACCAGATGTAGGCAAGGAGCTACTGTGCATACAGGTTTCCAGGCAGGCAGGGCCAGGACAGGGGCTGGGATCACCCTTGGGGTCTCCTGTACTGGGGTCACTGGGGTGTGAGGCGGGCCCAGGCTCTGACCCAGCTCAAGGGCAAAGCCACTTCTGGAGGCCGTCTAGGGGCCAAGGGTGCTCGCAGGGGCAAGCAGCGGCTAAAATGTGCTCTTCATTGCAGGCTGGAGGGCGATTTGTCAGGGCCCTGATGAAGTGATTGGGAAGAGGAGGGAGTGCTGATTTTGTGAAATTGCTGCGGGATGTAATACACAGGCTGGCAAGAAAGTTGTCGCCGGCTCTGTCCTGAGAGATGTGCCCTGAATCCCTATGAGCGTTCCGGGATGAGAGGCGGAAGGTCTGGGATGGGAGGCTCCCAGTAGGTGTTGGGCTGGGGCGGTGGCTTGCCCTCTCTGCACCCCTTCTGTCAGGGAGAATTATGCAGAGAGAGCAGAGACCAAATCTTGAGACTCAGAAAAGGTGCGTTGACACGGGTGGGGCTGGGGGTTGAGCTCTGGAGCCAGGTTGCTGGGTCTTGAATCCCAGCTCCTCTGCTTGCCAGCTGGGTGACCTTGGGCAAGTTGCTTAGCCTCTCTGTGCCTTGGTTTGTTCATGTATAAAATGGGTGTGATAAGAGTAACCCACTTAACTGGGTAGTTGTGAAAAGTCATTGAGTCCATCTACGGAAAGCCCTCAACGGGAGCTACGCTGGTGCTGGGAGGGGCTTCCTGGGAGTGGAGAGACGGGTTGACGAGGCTGAAGTTCAAGCTCACCAGTCGACTGATGGAGTGAATTCTGATTAGGATGTGAACCCAGAGACTCTGATAATACTGGGGCCCAACTCCAATCCCAGGGTAGATGGAGCTTGCGGGTTAGGCCACAGGCCCCTAGAATTATCAGGGTTCAGACCACTGCCGCTTCCTGGCGGAGGTGAGGGGGTGGGCATCTGGCTGGTAAGCTCGAGTGCCCTCCGACCTCCCTAACTACTCCTGTTTCCCCCGCAGTCGCACTACCGGCCCTTCTGCGTCAACAAAGGCAACGAGCTCAGGTCCAGCGAGGCCCCATGAGTGCCAGGCCGGCAGGAACGAGGCGCCGCCACCCCTGCCCGCCCCAGTGGCCCTGCTGCTCTAGCTGTTCCGCTCATCTGGGTGGGAGGGGGCCCAGCCCTCCCCCTGCCCCGCCCCACCCTCCCCTGCTCTCTCAGGGCCGCCTGGCCTCTCCCTCCTCCCTATCAGCCACGCTCCATCCAGGCCCCCTCCTGCTCTGTGACTAAGGATCACCATCTTTCCTGTGCTCAGAGGCCAACCCTCATGCGGGTGAGAGATAAGGCTTTTCCCCACTAACACGCCACATTCCCCCTTTTGGGTGGGATCCTTGGGGCCGGTAGTGGGTGCCCATATGGTACCAGCCTGCTTCCCCTGCCCAGGCCCCTGCTGCCTTCAGGCCTGTTGGCCGTTTCTCTCCAAGGCCCCTTACCCCGTGATGATGTCAGTAGGTGCCTGGCCATGACAGCTGTCCATCTCCCACCCACACGGGCCCACCTCTTCCCAGCAGCCTGGCCCCCTAGGAGAAGACTGGCCCCATGTGCCCTGCTCTGGTCCTACCTACCCAGGCTCAGCCTGGCGGGGCCTGCAGCCCTCGGCCACCACAGAGGAAAACTCTCAGTGTCTTGGCATCACCCTGCCCGGCCTTGGGTCTCCCCACATCCACGGCGAGTCTGTGGTCCCTGAGGACGGGCTCTCCTGGCTTGGCAGGATGACCTTCACCAAGATATTCCTTTCTTCTGCCTGCTGAGATAAGCGATTCCCTTGATGTGATACACTCCACCCGTGAAAATAGCTACCGGCCCAGCTGCTCCGAGGGAAATGTCTCATTGGTTTCATAATCGTGTTTCTCCCTGACAATGGGAAGTGAGCAGGCTGGCGACAGTGTGGCTGGGCTGGTAGCCGCGGGTGCTTATTTACAGTGTGCCTTACGCCCTGCCCGCACCCCACCTACTGCCCCCACTAGGGTCTCCCTCTTCCCTCTGACTACCCTCCATGTTACATGTTGTCATGGGGCCCAGGGCCTTGAGGTGAGCTCACACCAGCAGCACCAAGGCGGGGTCATCCCCCCTCTCGCCATCCCCCTCCCAAGGGCCTATGGGGGCTACGGGGAGGGGGGCCAGCTGTCAGGGGTGGGAGAGGGGTGGAGGGATGGGGGAGGGAGGGAGGGAGACATTCAGCTTGGGCTTTCCCTTCCTGAATAAACCATTGATCATGCACTTCTTTGTATTGAACAAGCGTTTCCCTGAGGGTCACCAGAGGGGCTGGCTGCAGTTCTTCTGAACACACTTTTTCCACCTCTGATGAGTATGTGGTCATCTCCCCTCTTTCCTCCAGAAGACGTGGTTCCTTTGGGTCTCCCTCCCACCCCTTCCCACACCCACCTGAGTCCCTAGTGGGCAGTGCAGGACGCTGGACCTTTCTGAAGTGGCCTCGGTTAACAGTGAGCAGAGGGGAGGATGGTGCAGGTGAGGTCCGGGGGATCACCTGAATACCCCGAGGGCTGTGAGAGCTCAGAGCCCCTGGCCAGCCTACCCCAGAGTCCCCAGAGGGGAGCCAGGCCCAGGAGTGGCTACCCACAGGCTGGGGTGGAGGCCAAGCAGAGGCTTCAGACCTGAGAGCCTTCTTAGTAGGGGGAGGGCTTCCTGGGCAGGGGAGCCCACAGTCGAGGCCTGGCAGGGGAGCCCCGCTCCTGAGGGCAGCGCCATCCTGAACTTGGGCCATGGGGAAAGGAGATGGGGCCTTCCAGTCCTTGGGAACCCAGAGAGGCCTGGAGAGGCAGTCAGGGAAGAGGCAAGCAAAACAGAAGG